TGCCCCCCCCCCCCCCCCCCCCAGCTCAGGCACTTGCATACCTATCACCAATTCAAGCACCTACACACTATACACACCAAAAGTTGGAGAAAAATCAATTGTCAATACCCATATACTCAGTACACATACACAGATTACTAATTTGTATATCATGCACACAATATGTATGTGTGTGTGTGTGTGTGTGTGTGTGTGTATATATATGTATATGTATATGTACACACACACACACACGTTCCTAGCTTGGATGGTACGGTACGTGTGTGTGTATTTGAGGTACCTGGGATACTTGGGAAAAGGTTAAGGTGAGAGAGGGAGAGTGTTAAAGTGTAGGGAGTGAAAGTTGCCAGAACCAGGATTAGAACCGGTGGTCTAGAGAGAAGCTGGCTGAGGAACTGAGGCTTGGGTTTATGTAAGATCAAGTGGCCCCAGGGTTACTCAAGGTCACTAGTGCAAGGGAAAAAAGCCAGTGGCAAGGAGGAGACAGCCAGGAAAGAAACTGAGGCAGAAACCTGGGAGCTCAGGGGAAAAGGCATTGGAGACAAAGCAATAGCAGTGGCAGAGATCCAGGGAAAAGGCAGTGGGGTTAAGACAGTGGCAAAGAAACAGGGGGTTTGCAGGCAGAGAGGAGCTCAGGACAGGTGTTGGAGGTGGCGGCAAGCCAGGAGCAGGAGAGGCAGAAATGAGACAGAAGTTAGAGGGAGGAGGAGCAGGATTGGAGCACAGCAGGAACCGTAGTAAAGCAAAACTCAACTTAGGGGTCCAAATAACAGTTTTATTAAATGGACAACATGCTACACAGCCCCATGAAGTTATTGGTACACACACACACACATTTCTCTCTCTCTCAATGGCAGAAGGAGAAAGAGACTCAGTGGAAGGGTTGGAGTCCAGGTAGAGAAGAGAAACAGAGTCCAAGTCCTTGGTTGAAGAGGGGGTACAGGGTGATAACTACTTATCCAGGCTGGAAAGGGGTCTTTGCCCAGTAGGTGTTGTCCAGAGGGGGGTTGCTGGCAGGGCCTCTGGATGGAGAGGTGGTGTAGTATGGTGCTGGTGCAGATGGAGAGGGCATCCCAAGGAGTCAGTCTTCACTACCTCTTTTATGGGGCAGACTACCTGTGATCTCCTATGGGGAGGGCCTGTCCAGGCAAGGTCAGTCCTGTTCCAGAGGGTTCCATGTGTTCTTACTGGGCATGTGCAGCCTTGGCACAATGGTGGGTTGCCTCATCTTTTGTTTTTTGAATGCTGAGGGTGGTTCCAATGGCTGGGTCCTTGGTCCAGGTATTGGTGTTGATGGTTCGGTCATTCAGAAGGAGCTATTTTTTAGACGTACTGCCATTGTCTCTCAAGCACTCGCATTCATCCCCATTCATCTGGGAACCAAGTTACATAGGAGGGGTCGGTCTGAGTCATAGGTTACACAACAGGGCATGGGGAAAAGATGAAGACTTGACAAACAAAATGGAAACTTGACATGACTTATGCTAACTTACATATGTAGGCCTAAATCATATAGTACCAGTAAAACAGTAATATAGAACAGTAAAAATTAATATAAACATAATAATGATGCAATATAAAGAAGGAGAAAAAACAAAACAAATACAACTTGCTACCAAAATAAAATGCTGAAGCTTATCCTATGTCTTAGCTCACTTATACTTACCTATAGGGAATAGAGAGGGAGAGAAAAAGTCAGAAATGGTTGGGGAAGGGGAGGGAATGCATTAAAAAAAAAAAAAAGAAAGAAAAGAAAAGAAAAACGGGGGGTTTTGCTACAATATTACCAGAAACCTCAGATGGAAATAAGATTGCAACTACACATTTTTATCTGTGGGTGATGGTAGTGTTATTTAAAAAAACCCCCACCAAACAAAACATTTAAAGTCTTGCTCAAGCTGTAACCTCAGCTGGTGTAAATCAGTGTAACTATTCACTTCAATGAACCGACATCTCTTTCTTATACCTGAGGATGTAGGGTCTCTAAAAAGTGCCCACTCTGGACCTAGGGGCCTACCACTCCCTCAATAATGTTACTGCTGTCATTACCTTGTCTTTCACTCTCTTTTGTCTGCCCTGGGGCTTGTGCAGCTGCTGACTGCTAACATCTCCTAAAAAGGTCTGTCTCAATAGAATGAGTTTTCTTTTGCAATTTGGAAAGGTGATACTATATCCAGGGACAACATTTCTCCCTGCATATAAGGAGCTACAGGCTTAGCAAAGAAATTGGCAGGAAAAAAATGCTCCCTGGAATACTCCAGCTACTCTTGGCAAATCTGAAGGTGGAGCTGCTGTAACTCATGTGGCAGTCTGTGGCTATACTCTTGAAATCAGACTCCTGGGCAAAGTGTAGTGACCTAAGTGAGGCTGTGCATGAGTGAAGATTATATCTGTGCAAAAACAATTATAGCAAGCAATTGTATATCTATGTGTGTTTAGTTTCACTGATTGCTTAAATCAAGTGCCTGGACTCATGATCTATTTGCAGTGGTGTACATGGATGATACGTGGGACAAAATCCTATTTTGCTTTGAGCCCCTAGGCTAGGTACTTTAAAAAGCCCAAGGTGGAAACGATCCAAGTTACGTGGTTTTCTGTAAGTGGCATAGTTTCAATTGGTAGTGAACAGAATGCACATTTGCCCTTTGGTGGTCAGGGGGAGGCAAATCTTAGAACGGGTTCCAACATATTTTTAAACAAGACTATGTATGCCAAACTTATGTTCTGTTATGGGTATAGACTGGTTTCTGATCACTTATACTGGTAAAAGTGTAATGTCTATACCTAGTCCTAAATGGTATGCATACAGCTGTGTAACTGGAGCTTGCAGCACTTATATACAGTTTGGGATTCTATTCCCCCAGTGGTTAAATAGCACTGCCCTGCATTCATACATGCTGAAAGTAAGACAGAGAAGGAGGAGTACCCTCTTACCCCAAGAGTCTAGCCAGCTTCCAAAGGTAATCTGGAAAAGTTTTGGAGTAAAGCCTAGCTTGTGGCCTGGTTTTTAGATTCATTTACTGGGAAGCAGGAGAGTTCAAACACCCTCTAAATAAGGGATTCTGGGATTCCTGTCTTTTATTTTTACCAACCAGCCGGGACCAGCCTTTGAAATCCAGGACTGTCCTTGGCAAACTGGGACATATGGTCACCCTAATGTTATCTATCTGCAGCATATCCCAGAAAAGCTGTTTGCTTATGCAAACTGGATTTTCTCTGTTCTCCTGCTACCTAGCAGTATATTTGAAGGGAGGTACCCAGGGCAGTAGCCTACATGCTGCCTTTGTGTGGGGCACAAACATAGCTGTAGGCAGCTGCTGTGAAGGCCTTGGAGCCACCCTGTTATGCCTTTGTTGCCATCTAACAGTGAAGTCTTCTAATAGCTACTTACTGCTTGTAGTTGCCCTAGGTTAGTTGCACACCTGCCCACTGAGGATTCTGATCTAATTCCATTGGTGTAGAAAACACATAGGTTACTACATCAGCATAAGAATGTTTGCATGTCCAGGCTGTAAGCTCTTTTGGTACATCTGTTGTGATATTTGCATTGTTTTCAGGTTGTTGCTAAAACACAATCTTCCTCTTCTTTCCTCTCTCACACAGAAAAGCTAGGATCTCTCAACCTAGACGTTGAGAAGATTGCACTGACAGAAAACAAGCAGAGACAGAAACTTACTGTGATTCTAGAAGCTGTGACCAAGTGTTTGCAGCTAGAGGAGAGCCAGCTGAAATGGAGTACTGATTGTATGTATGGATGTAAAATGGAAGGAAATTCTCTCACAAGATTATTCTATGTTCTGTGATCTTACTGAACTAGGAAGGTGCTGCTAAAGGAAAGATGCTGGAATTGGAATCAGGAGAATTGGGTTCAGGTCCTAGCTGAGGTGCAGATTTGACACAGAGCAGGTCACTCATCTTTCACTTCCCAAGCTATAAAATGGGACTAATACACCTGCTTTGTGACAGTATGTGGAGGCTCAGTATCTGGAATACTTGTATGTTCTCAGGCAGTGGGCACAACAAGGATGTAAAGTATTACTGTGAGGTTGTAATGAGCTTGCAAATTATTTATGAGATCTTCTCTTTATTTGAATAGCTATTTTGAAGAAGGACTTAGTGAGCACATTGCATCTTCTGATTGCCATAGCAAAGCACTTTCAGCCTGATCTGGCTATCCCTCCAAATATTCATGTGGAAGTAGTAACAATTGAGGTAATTTTGTCTTTTATATTTGCTACTCTAGGCCACAGAGACCCCTTGCAAGATTAAGCTTATTTAAAAAATATAACTACATGTAGAGCAGCCATCTCCACCTCCCTCACAAAGGCATTCTGCTGGGACTGTTGTCATCATCATCCCCCATCCCCTCCTTCAGTTACACTACTGGGAAAAGATGCAAAAACTGCAAGTAGCTTAACAGGTTGCAAGCATTCCAAAACTTCAACAAAGAGGATGACAAAAGTGTCATTCATTACTGATCAGTTTAGAACCCAGAATCTGAATGAAGCAAGACAGCTCTTAGTGATGGCTCTGAGTAATTTCTGAATTTACAGACTCATCCCCTTCACCTGTGTAGGATTTGGAATTTTAGGGGTAACAGTTCAAATGTTCTTGAGTGATTTAGCATCCAAATCTGTTTGAAAGTAAGCTGACGTGTCTACACGTGCACTTTTATGTGCAGTAGCCTATTTTACTGTGCATTAAAATGTCATATAAAGAACTGTGCAATTACACTAATGCACAGTAAAATAAGCTACTGTGTAGTGAGCATAATTTTAAAAATGTGCATTTTGGTACTGCACATTAGGGCAGCCTCATGCACATTTTAGTACCTCACATTGGAGGTACTACATTTAATGCACATTAGGAAAAGTGCATTTATGTATGTGTAGATGCACCCAGTGTCATATTTGAAAATGGAGCTTAGGCTCCTAAGTCAGGATGACATTTGTGAATATTTTACACACTTCATTGATGATGATCAGCCTTTCATGGAAGTCATCAAGGTCAGGTTTCCTTGCTTCACCACAGTGGTTAAATATAATTCTTCTGTATTCGCTTTTGTTTAACAGCGTACAGCGAAAGGCCTAAAGACGGAAAATGCTGTGGAATATATCACAGATTGCAAGTAAGCAGGGATGTACAATTAGAAAGGGTTTACATGATCTCTTCATTTATTGCCAAAAGCATCATGGAGGTTATTTAAAAACATAACATCTTAACCAATCAGAAAAAACCTAAACATTAAACTGAAGTTATCCAAAAGAATAACAGTAGTACTTGTCTGATTGCTGTTCAGTTACAATCTGTAAAATAATTTGTATCAGTATTTGTTAGGCTTAGGAAACCCTATTCTGACAGAATTATTGCATGAAGCAAAAGCACTTATTCATTTTGTAGAGTCCTTACTAGGTTTTAATTTTTCTTAGAAAGATCTAAAAAATGTCATCATATTTGTAAGCCAAGGTTTTTAGGTTTATATATCCAAGATTAAAACTGCAACAGCATAAACCAAACCTGGTTTACTTCTATTATGAATTTATTAGCATTATTATTACATTACCAACATTAGGCATTTTTTCATATGGAATTAAAGAAAATAATTTTTAAGCTTGCTTAGTCTGTGAGATCCTTTGATTATTACCTAAGCTTACAATGGGAAACAATTTTAATATTAAGAAAATATGGAGAATTTTCCAAGAACTGGAAACAGTTTTCCCTCTTATAGTTCCATCAAACTATTATTATCTTTCATGTCAGTACATCTTTAAATTCTAATATCAGGACCAGCTTGTTGGAGAAGTGTATTATGATTTGTGCTTATAAAATAAATGTTTATTGCTCTGTGTGCCAAATAAAACCTTATATTCTTCCAAGAATACACATACACGGTGTACTTTAAAAATGCCTATTGGAAAGCTATCTCTGGCATACAGCTGGTGAGGTTTTGTACTGTATCAGCTACTTCACAGGATGCCTTGTGGCACAGATATGCTTTGCTTATGAATAGGATTAGCTTTGCTGCATGTTTTATCTTTTCCCCCCTCATGCTCTCTTTTTTTATTTTATCTATAGGGAGACTTTAGAAGATCAGTCAAGTAAGTTTTCTTATGACAAAATTTAGTGGTTCTACTACATTCTATAGACACTCAATTCTGATTGCAGTTGTCCTGATGTATCGTGATACTAATCCCAGTGGATATTAATGACTGCGATGTTAATATTAGCAGGAGACCAAAGTTGGGCCCAATGTGGTTCAACTTGATTTATGCCACAGAAGAACCTAATCCATTTTGGCTATTAGAAGTTTCAACAAAGGAGACGAAGCATTGGTGAGATAAAGGGAGATGAATACCATTCATCACTCTGAACTATGGGTGCCTGTAGCCGTACTGTTGGGCTGCTCCAACGTGCTATAATTACCTGGTAATTACTGCGTGGTAATTACCACAGTCCAGCCAGCTTCCATGTCTCATGGAGTAGCATCTCCACACTTCAAAATGGCGGCAGGGGTGCTTGAACTAAAGCTCATTAAACAAACTTTATTTCAAGCACCCCCATTGCCATTTTGAATCATGGGGACACTAATACATAAGACACTACAATGCTCTACTTAGAGCAGCTCTCAGAACCACTCTAATTAAAGCTTCCCCCGCCCCAACTCTTACCCCTGGAGCATGTGTAAAAGTGCCATATGTGTCTGCATCAGGGCTGCAGAACTGAGCCTCTGACTTGGTGCCAGATGCATTCAGGTCTCATTTCTATAGTTTGCAAAGCAGTGTTCTGAAATTTTGCTAGTGCCTGACAACCTACCTTTTAATAAGCAAGTCAATCTAAAACAGATTGTACCAGCAGAACACTTCAGTTTAAATTTAACCTATCTGCAGAGAGCAAAAAAAGGCCTAGGCACCCTGTTAGCTCTATTTTGAGGACTTGCATTTTATGTGCTGGCCTGGTCCTCTGTAAAATGGGTACATTTCCTTCCCAAAGAAAAGATTAGGTTGTTTCAACACTTTTATGCTCAGCTCTTATTAATGCTTATATATCTGTGATTGGATGAAGCGGTTTCCGTGATACATCTATATTTATTTATCACTTACTCCATTAAGTGATCTTCAATCTAAACAGAAGCATTAGCCAAAAGTGAGAAAAATTATCTGTTTCCATGGGTTAATCTGTCATAGGAATAAACCTTGAAATCACTCTGGAAGATAACGCCTTTGTTTTTTAATGCATCTTGCTTAAATAAGGAAAGAACTGTACTATTGCAAAGGTTTGCTTCAGAAGAGTGTACTCTAGCTTGCAAGAATGGTGCAGGCTTTAGATGTAGCCATACAATTGATTTGCTGTAGTTTTTATTAGTTTCATAACAATACTGCACCAACAACAGGGAAAATGAAACCCAATGGAGCTCATTCAACACTGGAGCCATTTGATCTAGCAGAGCTGGTAATTCTAATTGGTATTCTTTCCTAAACAAAGCTGGACTTGCTTCCCATACCACAGAAGCCAGACATTCCTTGTAGTTATGCTGGCATAATGCCCTTGGCTTTGTTCATCTTGGATCAAATTAATGTTGTTGTAAGGTCATGAAGGGAAGAAGTACAAGATTCCCATTAGACCTGGTCAGAAAACGAGAGTAAGAATTCACTAGCATTTAAAAGCATTTCCATTTTCCCCTGTGTAACAGGGAGTCTACATAGGGCTGGTCAGAAGTTAGCCCGCCCACCTGTTTCTGGACTAACTGCCCACATCTCTTTCCTGCCACACCTTGTTGTTTAATAATTGGTGTCTTAATTAGGTGGGAGGCTGCCCTTTGGCTCTGTTCTCCTGGACCTATATATGCAGCTCCAACCAAGCACTGCATCCCAAGCCTCACAGATGACACGCACACAAATGATGTTCCCTCACACCACAACCGGTGCTCCTGTGTCTCACAGGGACTCTCCCTCCCTCCCTGGAGCAGGAAGTCATTGTGCTCTCCCTTGCTGTAATTTTGGACCCACACTCAGCCTCCTCTCAGCAGAGGATTTACCAGAATCAGGATTCACCCCTAGCTTCCTGGCTGAGCCCCCTATTCGGCCTTAGCCCCAGCTATGGTCTCAGGCATCTGAAAACATACCTTGGCCTACTCCCCACACATGGGGTTCCTACTATGCCCACTCTAGGGCCTCTATACCACCCCCCACCCTGGGGTCTTCTCATCATCCTCACACTCAACTACCCATGTGGCTGGCCCTTGCGCTGCCCTTCAGGCTTACTCCTAATTTGGCCCTACTCAGCTCCCTCACAGTCGGCCCTTCAGGCCTACTCCCATTCAACCCTACTCTGTGTGGAGCCACCTACATCCCTGCCGTCTCAGGGCCTTCACAATTGCCCTCTCTCTCCAGGGATAGTTATATGGACCTGACAAGGGGCCTCTGGGATCTTCCTCTCCTGCAGGTTCACGTGGCTGCAGCCGTGCCTGGCCCCACTCCTCTTCTGGGGTCTTCCACCCCCTAGGGCTCAGGTGGCCATAGCTGTGCCTGGCCCTTGTACCCACCAAATTGTGGGGGCTGGGGTTAAGGTGCCCCAACCCACCTTTCACTGGGGTGGAAACTGGCCTGGCATTTCTTGGGGGCTCCCACACTACTAGGAGCCCCACCAGGCCACCCATCCATGGCAGAATGTAGTTTTAGGTCATGCCCAGGACTAGGAGCCTCCTAGCCATCTCCATAAGCTCTTGCCCGTACCTCCATGTGTTCCTGCTGTAGCTCAGCCAGGCAATATTTCTGCCTGGGCTGATAGCAGCAAACTGCAGCCTTTATATACCTGGTTCTGACAATGGCTGCCACCATCAGGCACCTGCTAACTGCCTGACTGTGCCCTTAAAGTGGCAGGCACCCAAAGGTGCACTGCCATACCCTGAAATGTTTAAACCCTCTTATATAATTCTGTTAGAAATTACTGGAGATGTTCCATGGCCTGGGTGATGCAGAACATCAAACTATATGGTTAGAACAGGAAGTTCCGCAGTGCTCTTAAGAATGTTGCCAGGAAATGTGTCCCTACTTACCCACTTTCAGTCCATGTGCTCCAAACCCAGAAATGATGCAGTGAAGTCAGCTTGGGGGCTCCTCTCACTACAGCTTTAAAGCACAATGGAGACTGAGACCTTGACATTGATGGTGAGGAGGTCTTCTCAGGGCCTTATTTCTAGGTTTGGCATGGATGGGCAGGGCCACACTGCTTGGTGAAGCTCTTAAGAGTTCTACAGAAACAATATAGACATACCTGCTGGTCTTTTTGTACTGTAAAATTGATTAATCTTCATCTATGGGCAGATATTTTTAACACTCAAGTTGGGGCCATTCTCTCCCCTCAGTTTTTGTAGAAAGTCTCATTGATGGCAATCAAAATTTGAGGTATGGAAGAGCCCAGTGATGTAGAGTTCTCTTTGCTGTTTTTTTTTGTCACACTTGTTCATGGGTATGAAGCTCAGAAGAACCATAAAAAGCACAGAATTTCCTTCACCTTTCCTACTGCCTCAGGCTGGTGACAGACAAATCACAACAGCCTATGCATTTTAAAATTAGGGGAGATGACTAAAACAAACTACTTTTTTTGACATAAGATTCCAAGTACAGAGAAGTGAAGATCCATCTTCTCTACTGAATGCAGAGGCAAGGTGCTTTTTCCTTTTAGTAGCGTGAAACAACTGCTTCAACCTCCCTTAACCACTTGACTGGTAGCTATTCCAAATAATCTCTAATAACATTTGTGAAATATTTTGCCTAGATACTGATGCTTTTGATGAATTATTCACCCATGCTCCTGACAAATTGGAAGCTGTAAAGGAGGTAACTTGTATTTTAAATGCACGCTCACATTTACACTGTAAGATATAATTTATGACTTCGCTGACATTTTTTTTCTCTCTTCCCTTTCCTTCTTTAGGTATTTTTGCAATTTGTCAACAAGCATATTGGAAAATTAGGATTAAATGTGAAAGATTTTGAAAATCAGGTAACGTACTTTTTGCTGTATGTTAACTTGCCTGTCAGTTATGTTAGTATTTCCCATCACCTCCAAAATTCCTGTATTTTTAACCTTGCCAAAAAATACATAAAATCATTCCTAGCCTGAGGTAAAGCATATCAAACTTCAGTCTTGTAGCATTTTTTACAGCTCATATGCTAAGCAATTGAAAATGAGTGTATGGTATTGAATACAGTACACTTGTTTCAGGGATACAGGGTCTGCTTTTCAAAGGTGTTTGAACCCCTGCAGCTTCTATTGAGTTACTTTGGAAATAACAGGCATCTTTCTACGTGCTCCTTGAGGGAGGAGGGTGCTTTAATTACAGCAGCTCTTCGGAGCCATTCTAATTAAAGTGCCTGCAGCATCTCGTGTATTCAGCATCCCATGCTTCAAAATGGTGGCAGAGGTGCTTTAACTAAAGCTCAGTGAAACAGCATTAGTCAAAGCACCCTTGCTGCCATTTTGAAGCCTGGGGCTCCTGAATACATGTGACACTGAGGCTGCTGGAGCATCCTAATTAGCAGGCTTCAGAAGATTCAATTAACTCTGATGCATTCTAATTAGAATTAGCAGGCATTGGGCACATGTATAGGTGCCCAGTAGGCCTATTGTCAGTAGTGACTAGGGATTTAGGGGTGCCCTACTTGAGATGTGGTAAGGAGGCTTATATTTTATAGAGGGTTGATCAACCGTAATCTGAAAATCAGGCTTCTTTAAAGTACCTGAGGTTGAGCCCCCACAATTTAGCCTATCCAAAATTACTAGCCATTTATTCAATTCTAGGCCACAGTTTTTGGAAATTCATATGTGAGAAGTTTACATCACACTATCAGTGTGGATGGGTCCAGTGTGCTTGTGTCAGTGAAAAGAGATGGAATTGTAGCTGTGCCTCCTTTACCCCATTTCCTTTGGTGTGACTAGCCATGTTGAGTGCACATAGAAGGAACAGGCTTGTGCTCTCTGGAGTACAGAATTAATACATTGAGATAAATTAAGGTGAGGGGATTTCTTGTGTTTTTTGTTTTTCTTCCTCTGTATGCACATGCAAAGATTTTAGAGCAGTGTAGGCCACAACTAGCACTTTGTTTAATAAATTAAACACACTGATGTGATGATAATTCCAGTGATTTGTGCTGAAGGCTGAAGACTGAAGCATAAGCCATTATAATTCTGTTGACTTTTCCTGATGGGGGTGAGTAATAGGAATGGAAGTTCTGGAAGGATTACTGTCAAGTAAAAATAAGGGGTCTAATACTGTATAAATAAGGGCTCTAAGAACTAAATTATGATATTTTTAATTACTAATCCATATTAGTGTTTTTCTGTGGAATAGCATTTACTGTATTTATCAAAAACGAGGCAAGGTTTTTTCTTCCACTCAGTATGGGGGCGGAAAAAGGCCTTTGTCTTGAATCTGAGTACAAGCATGGGCGGTGGGAGGGGAAGGGGAAGGACAAGCAGCAGCTGCAGCTCCAGCTCCACCCCTAGGCTCAGAGTCCGAGTTGGAACCATAGCCCCTGCTTCCCCCGCTGTAGCTTCTGCTCCTCCCACCACCTCTTGTCACCACCAACCCACTGCTGCCTCTGCCTCACTGCCACATACCATCCATCTTGGCTCTAGCTTCAGTCTGTTCTGGCACAGGGCACAGAGCACATGCTGGCTCTGCTGTCTACCCAACCAGGTAGAAGTAGTTGCATCAGCAGTGGCTCTTGCCCCAGTCCTGGCCCTGGCTCTGGCTTTAGCTCTGAATCCAATGGAGCAGTGGCAGAGGAGCAGGCAATGCAGGAGGCAGGCAGCAGTTTGGGCCAACTGGGAGGTGGGGTAGGTGGCAGCCAGGGTAGCCAATAGGGGATGCAGACACAGGGGTGGGAACCCACATGGCGGGGGGGAAGTGATGGAGGGGCAGGGTTCAGGTCACTTGATGCCCCTACCACCTGTCCCCTCACTTCCTGCCCCACTGCTGTGGTGTTAGTGGGGGGACAAATTTAAGATGACCCTCCGATAATTAGATTCTATTCATAGAAAAATTATAACAAATTTATAAATTGTCTATGTATAGAGTCTCATTATTGGGGGTTGTCTTAAATTTGAAGTTATCTTGGACTCAGGTATATACAGTATCTTTTAATTCAGGAACTGTTGAAGGCCAGTTTAATATAATATACATCTTTATGTATTATTTATTATAGTTTGCAGATGGTGTCATCTTACTCTTGTTAATTGGACAACTTCAAGGTTTTTTCTTGAATTTAAGGGATTTCTTCCTAAACCCAAGTTCTGAAACAGAAAAGGTAAGTTATTTTTATGTACTTAACCTGCAAACAACTTATGCACTTGCTTCTTTATGCTAGTGAATAGAATAATTGAAAATACTGGTTCTACTGATGTATATAATGTTATACATGCATAGAAATGTTTTCTGGATAGCAGGCTTGTCAGCAAACAGGAGATTCATGCTATATAAATTGATTTGAAAGCTGACAGAGATACCCTTCTTAAAGGCTGTACTGAAACCTGCTATGACCCTACAAAATGCAAGCTATTGTAAGATTAACAGGGTAAATACAAAGATGTGTCCTGTGTGAGTGTGAATATGAAAGCAATGTTAGATTGACAGCCCTAGAAACTGAATCTCCCACTTGCTCACAGAACTGAAACAATAGTGCTGAGCCTATACAAAGCCTATTGCATGCTTCCAGAGCTGTGCTATAGACATGAGCTAAAGTCATATCCCTATCTGCACTAAGTGATTTTCCTAATATCGGTTCATTGAACCTGTTAGCCAAGCTGAGAACCCTGGTCTGGGATAGATGATGTGTTTACATTGAGTGTAAACCAAAAATGGACACATAGCATAAACATCTATACCAGTGTAACTTACTCAAGTCCAGTGTAGCGTTACCTTGAGAGAAAATGGGTAAAATTGTGTTGGTTTGTTACCCCAGTGTAGATGCCATCTGTACAAACATGCAGCACATGCTCTCCTGCCTTCTGTGATGAGCACCTTCTCTCATGAGCACCTTTCCTGAAATATCTGCTTTTTATTAGAGGTGTACCAATACATTGGTCTGATATTGGATTGGCAACAATATGAAGAAAATTGAGTGTAGTGGAAATTGGCCTGAGGTGGCCGATAATTTGGCTGATAAATGCCCCATGCATGTGTGCAGCTACAATGCAGCATGTAGGCAGCAAGGAAAGGGACAGGGGTGGAGGGCAGATCAAGGTGGTGAGGGAGGGAGTGGGGCCTGGGGTAGGGGCTGGTGCAGGCACTACCCAGCTGAGGCAGGGTGGGCATGGGATGGAGCTGTGGCTCATCTGGGGGTGCAAGGAGGTGGGGAAGCTCCTGCTGCTGTGTACACCCCAGGAGGGCATGGGTAGGTGTGCCCCTGGATCAGTGTGGGGCATGGGCAGGGTGGGCTGCAGCTGTGGGCTGGGGCCAATGTTGTGCCAGGCTCTTCCCAGCACATGACAGGTGGGTGGTTGGGTTGGGGCTGCACTCAAGGCAGGTGGTGGCAGTGCTGGGAGAGGAGTTGTGGGGGCTACAGCAAATTTTGGGGTGGCTGCAGCCCCCCACAATCCCTCTCCCAGTGCTGCCACCACCCACCCCGAGCAGCACAGCCTAGCTCAGCCCCCCACCAGGAAGAGCCTGGCGCAGCCCTGGCTCCAGTCCACAGCTGCAGCCCCCCCTGCCTTGCCCCATGCAGACCTGGAGACACATGCCCCCCAACCATGCCCTCCCAGGGTGTGCACAGTGTTGGGAGCCACCCCCCGCTCCCCACACCCTGCAGATCAGCCACAGCTCCATCCTGCACGTGCCCTGCTTTGACTGGGCAGCACTTGTTGGGACAAGTCCCACTCCTCCCTCACCACAGGGGCCTTGATTTGCCCCTCTACACCCCTTCCCTCCTCCCTCCCCTCCCACAAGCAGCTCATTTTGGGGTTGCAGGGACTGGGGGAAGG